TTGTATGACTTTCGAAAAGAGAGAAATAAATGGGAACCTAAAATATATGAGACAATAATCTATTTAGAGAACACTGGTGAAGCCAGGATTAATATAGCCATACATGACTTAGTTTCCAAACAGCTAATTAGTTTAAGTAACAGTACTCTAGAATAGATAGCCCTAAGTTCTTACATACTAGGTTTACTTCCTTCTGCCCTTTCTTCTTCTAAAGAAATGGCAAAGTGTGGTTTATCTTTTGAATTTTAGAAGGAGTTTGCAAAACTGGCAGAAAGATGTCCTATGAAGGGATGAAATCTGATCCCACAGTCTCATTCCTACCATGTGAGTTTTCATAGGAGACTTCCATATAAAAATGGCAGCACAGTTCGAACTGTTGCTGTTGTGATGTTGAAAATGAATTTCCAAACATCTGAAAAGAGAGGGACCAATGAAATGAGCTAATGTCCTTAAACACATGATGTGACTGCATTATCAGCTCTTCTAATCCTAAAGTTCTCAACTGACTGGTGATTTCAAGTGGCAAGTAGAAAACACCAGCTGTAGTTTCTGTAGCTGCTGTAGTTTCCATATCAAATGTTATTGACAGTGTGGATTATGGAGCACATCTTTTAAAAATCTAAGAAATGTCGAGACCTTTTTAAGTTCTGTATTTGACCTTAAAGAATATGTCTCCAATTCACTGGCCAGACACGCTGTATGGAGAAGGGATGCCAAAATAATCTGCTTCCTTCTGCAATGCAATTCAAATTTGTTAATCTTCAGGAATCCCAACTTCTCCATGAAGATCGTCTAAAAGATATTTAAACAGGTTTCCATCTCAATCAATTAGACAAGCCCCTGAAAATATAAACCGATCAAAACATTGCTTGCAACAAAGGAGGCAGGCTTGTTGCATTTGCCAAATCATCAGGTGAAGTCTTTCATATAAAACTTCTTGACTAATTTTACTGAGGGGCAGAAAATATACTTTCTCCATTCTCTTAAAACTGCTACTTCTTTGCTCTGGGATACTTGGTAAATCCAAAGATAAAATTCTAATACAGTGAACAACTCTGGCCATGCTTGGAAATTCTGTGAAACCACTGATCTGCATAGGACTGTGCCCAGGTGCAGCCTCACCTCTACTGTGCTCTGTTTAAAGGGCTAAAAACTAACTCCAGGTCCACCTTCAAATCTGATGAGCAACAGAAAGAGCAGGATGCTCAAGGAGCAGGAGGTCATGAATAGGACTCAAATGCCAAAATTCTGCCAGGATCATCTCTGTCTATTTAGCTCTTCATAGTGGAGTAGGATATTCCGAGACAACAACCTGGCCTGGGATGTGGCAGGGCACAGTGATATCCAAGCGTGTTGCACACAGGAACGATCCTGCAGAATTCACACTGCAGTGCTGCCTGCGGCTGAGGAAGACTAATGATACAAAATACGTGCAAAACGTATAGGAAAATGGGTGTTTGCCACAGAGCTTCCTGCCAGGCTGCAGTATTTACAGCTTAAACATATTTACTGGATTCATCCACTTTGGAAGGAAAGCATCCACTACACATTGAAGCCAGCATTGGATCCTTAATGCATAAAGATGCATGCCTCGTGGTGTATATACATCCTTGGACGTTAAGTGCAAGGATACCCTGCTCCTGTTTAGCCTTGCCTTCTTCCATTGCATTTGCAAATGATGATGTTAAATATGAGGTACTCCAACCTGAAACACGCAGGAAAGAAAATGAATGCCCATCAAGACTGAGGTTGTCAGATGCAAGACCTAAATGTCAACTTGCCTCTTAAAATTTGCTTTTTAATATTGAATATCAGTTTTCATAGCTATCCTGAAAGTGTATCAATGCAAACCGCTCAAATTCTGCACCTCACTATAAAAAAATAAGGCATTTTATTAAGAAAAAAAAGTTTTGGGACAAAAGGGTAATCAGAGTTTTAGATGGTCAGGATATAGTATGTGTGGGTAGCACTGGGAGGACAGTGAAAAAATGACTCTGGTTCTGGGCAACCTGTCCGTGAGCACAGATCAAGGTACTGGTAATGTGCTGGCTTTGTACCGGCAGCAGCCTGGCTTCATGAAGCCTTGTCTTTGAGTTAGGGCAGCCACAGCTGGCGGCTGGAGCTGCGGCGGCGCTGGCGTCTCGGCTCCATAGTCGCCCTCGCAGCAGTGCCGAAGGAAAGGCACAAAACACAAATGCACCCTCAGGAGCAGCTCCCGGAGCGCTCCCGCTCCATGGGGTTGCACAGGGCCCTGCACGGCCTCACTGCCGCTTGCAGCCATCAGGGAGCAGAAAATTGCTCACAGGGAAAGCTGGAACCAGGCAAAGATGGGGCCTGGTGGGAGCCCCGCGTTACCCCACGCCAGGAAGGCCTGTCGGAGCGTCTCTGTTTTCCTGGACACGTTTGCTGGAAATGGGCTCCATGCAGCGGCTGCTGCTTGCAGTCTTAGCGGCCAGGCCCGGAGAGGATGGCAGTGCTTCCTGGCCTGCTGAGCGCAGAGCCTCTACCTGGCTTCCATTGCTCTTGCAGGGCTGCGAGGTCGTGGGCTTGAGGAGCTTGGAGTCCGTGAACATGGGGAGGAAAAGGGGGGAAAAAAGAACAAGAAAGAGGTATGTTTCAGGATAAAAGCGGAAAAGGAGCACTTATCCCTTTAAAGAGGAAATGCAGTTTTCCCAGCTGAGTGCATCTTATTTTCTGGAAAGAGCTAGATTAACTCCATGTCGGAGCTCGGTGTGCCCCTAGGAGGAGTGGGCCTGTCTGTTTAGGCCCAGGAAGTGCTATATATGCAGCTGAGGTTATTTAAAATACACAATACTGGTTTTAAATCCCCTCCTCCACACCTTTTCATGTTCTATTTTTGCCCCACATTGCTTATTAAAAATACCCGCAAGGACAGAAAATGGTTTTAAGACCTGACCTTAATTTCTAAAAAGATTTAGCAAATGCTGCTCCCAAGGCAAAACAGGTTTCTGAGCTGTTTTTTCTCCTGTCCCATACAGTAAGGCCATATACTGATACACATGCCACACAACTGTATTATTTATATGTAAAGGTGAACAGGCTCGAGCTCTGTGTTTCCATGAAGTTTGCTTGGAAGTATACAAACCAACTATATATCCAAAAGACACAATAAAAGATAGCCCAGCTTCAGGTTTTAACAGTAATCTTCAATTGTGAATTAACACAATAAAATCCAGTTATTTAATCATATAATACACATAAGGAAATGTGCCCATGTTGTATTTAACAGTTTATCCATATTTATCTAAAAAATGGACTCAGTTATAAAGCTATCATTCATATTGATTTTCATTTTGTATCATCATTATTATTTCCATCATGTGGCTTTGTAAGATATTTTTAATGCTCATTCTAAATGGCACAGATATTGAAAATACACAATTTTGGAGCCTATACCACCTTGGTGATGTTTTGTTACATATTTTGTGCAACAGGCAATCATAGAACAGCTGCAGTTCCAAAGACAGCGTATTTTTTTATATCCTCACTATAGAGGTTGTTGTTAAAATATTCTGGTCTAGCAGTCTAATTTTGAGAATACCCAAGGGTAGCATAGGCTACTTATTTTAAGTTATTAGTTATCACTATAGACTCCTATTGTAAACTTCTTCCAGTCATGAGTGAAGGATAGTAGACGAAAGCGTCAGCTCAATCATGTTGCACCTGGTCACAAAAGGAATATGATAAATTCTGTTTGATACTGTGCAACTTTGGAGAGAGCACATACTCCTTGGGCTGGGCTTCTTACTGCTAATACTTAATGCTAATTTGGATTAGAATGATAGGTGAAGCTACCATAAATACTTCACGTTTCATGTCCTTATGTGAAAATGTTGCAGTTTGAAAGCCGTAGTTGTAGTGGTGGGGGGCGGGGGGGGAGGAGATATCAAAACAGTATCGGATTCACAAACAGTCTGTGGACTGTAGGTCCGATCGCCTTCTTAGGAGCGAATCGAGTTCCCAAATAGTGTGATCAACTATAAGCTCGACCCTGGCAGTATCGGATTCACGAACAGTCCGTCAACGGTAGGTCCGATTGCCTCCCCCCAAACAAGTAGTCGAGTCTGATTTATTCAACTGCAACATTTACAAAGCAGGTTTCAGATGTCAGTCCAGGAAATTCTCTACTAGAGTGTGGGGTTTTAGCTAGCTCTGATGTACAAATGTGCAATCATCACTCACCCCAGAAGATGGGAGAGGGCTTTCAGTCTCGAGTCTCCTCAGGCGGCGTCCTGACGCAAGGGGAGGAAAGGGGGTTTTTTTTTTGTCGACTGACCCAGGAGTTATGATGGATTCTTCCCTCCAGACTTTTCATCCTTAGTTCACCTTTTATACTTTTCTTTACATTCAGGTGGAGCTTGAGTGACTAGAGTCATACTTAATATTGTTATTGATTGGTGAAAAAGTTTCTCGCTTTCATTTAAAGGTACAGTCACCCGAAAATCTAGAGCGCATGCTCAGTGAGGGGTGGTCGTACCTCAGAGGTGGGTAACTTTTGGGATGGAGGTATGGTTTTCGCATTATAATGAGCAAAGTTCAAGCAAAGTTCATCATTTGCCACCTTTGCTGGCTCAGCACCAGACTTGTTATCGTATATCTCTCATTAGACAGCCACTGTGCGGTTTATCAGCAGCCCAGCACAGGGAGTGCAACAGAGTTGGCCGCGGTGTCTTCACCCCGCTCCATCCTCCGTTACTCCCCTTTGCAGCTGCGAGGAGGGCAGATTGTGCTGCCCAGGGAACCGTGGAGGAGCAGAGTCCGTGTGTACCAACCATCCTGGAAGTGGCAACTGTGTAGCACCCCAAGCAGGCCTCTGTAATGCCAAAACTTCTGTTAGGCCCTAGTTTTCCTCTCAGTTCCTGCTTTCAAACAAATCTTCCACAAACAATTTTTCCACACCTTAGCAACTAAGCATGCTGCAGTCAAAGCAAGGAAAGGAAACTGCCCAGTGCCATGGTTCCTGTGCCCTCTGTAAATCAGCCTGTGCCAAGAGAGTGCCAGAGCCCACGTCAGAGCGAAGAATTCAGGAAATTCTGGCTGGCAGGTTCCTACCCAAAATGAATTTTCTTTAAGCTTGTGAAAGAAAGGGAGTGATTAGGGGAAAATGGCCTATTAATATCCTAATGTCAGGGAAAGCTGTAGTATGAGCTCGGTTCTTGCCAGATATCAGAACATTTGCAGGGGGGACTAGCTGCTCTGTGTACCCTACCTGCTCTTTAATGCACTTTAGTCATAGCTCACAACCCAGGTGGTTAATTCTGCAACTATAACCTTTTTGGAGGTGGAGTTGCTGGTTTCTAATAAGACACACATTGAATCTGACTCTTGCCATGTGATTAGGGCTCTTAGGCCTCCATCTGTCTTGCTTTCAACTCCCTTTCTTTTCTGACATCTAATGAGCTGTGGGATGTGCTGCAGCTTTTGTCTGCACAGTTTAAAAGCCTGTTTTAAGATGTCAAATCACTGAAAAACAGTTTTCTGCTGTAAATAAATACTTAAGATACATAGGCTGAGAAATTTGGCAGTGCTTTTCGTTCTCCCTCACTTTGAGTAGATAGTAAGTTTTTACATGTAAAACACAGTGCAGGATTTCATCAGCAGAGTGTGAAGGGAAGTTTGACCCCCTATGGAATTATGATATTTATGTTTTATTTTAAGCTTATTGTCAGCAGTAGTAACATAAACATTAAATAGGAGCAAATTGATGATTGCTCCTTCAGGAGCCGAACCACTTTAAAACCAGAAGTGAAATCTATTGGTTGGATAAAGGAAAACATACTGCCTGCAGGAAAGATAAGGAAGTAAGTTACATTTATTTGATTGGCTTTGCTATTATTTGTACCCTTTTCAAAAGGTTAATTGCTCTTTTATTTGCCAAACATGAAAGAGTTGCAGTCTCACAGTGGCTACAGGAGCTTCCCAGGGTGTCTTTTGAGGGGAAATGTAATGGGAAAGGTGTGCTAGGTTAAATCTTGATTATTTCTAAAGGGCTCCTACAGCAGTGCAGGGTTTTGTAACTTCAAGGCTATGCTGGGAAATTACTATACATCATGTAGAAATTAAGAAAAAGCAGGCAAGAAAAATTCTTTAGGTGCTACTCGCATTAGGCAATACAAATTAGTAAGTTCTTACAAATACATTTTCAAATAATTAGTATCACTGGTATTTATTTCAGGATTGCCTTCATTTCTTTATAGTCCATTATAATGTTAGCACATTCATGATTACTACTTAATTCAGGAGCCTAAATAAAAGTAAACACCACCTTTAAAGCCACTATTGTAAGAAAATCTGTGCTTCTAAAATTTTATTTATATATTAATGTTCACAATTCAATTAGCACATCTGTGTGAATCTTCAGAAAAAGAGTATTTTTTGTATTGCTCTAGAACTTATTGCTTCTAGAGGTTATTAATTTTTTACTGTTTCCTTTATGGCTACTAGCTAAAGATCAGACAAAAACAAACAAACAAACAAACAAACCCTTCAGCTTTCCACTGGGATGGAATGTGTGGATTTCTTCTTTTTATGTAAAGGAAGTCCTTAAACAGCAGGCCAAATAAGCCAAATCTCTCCTAGGGCAGGAAACGCTAGTGTGGGTATTTGGTGCTTTGGATTTTATGATGTGGGGTACTGTGTGCAGTTCTGGGCTCCCCGGTACAAGGACATTGACCTTCTAGAGAGGGCCCAGCGCAGAGTCACGAAGACAGTGAAGAGACTGGAGCATCTATCATATGGGGAGAGACTAAGCGAGCGGGACCTGTGTAGCCTGGAGAAGAGAAGACTGAGAGGAGATTTGATCAACATCTTCAAGTACCTGAGGGGAGAATGTAGGGAGGATGGGGCCAGGCTCTTCTTGGTGGTGGCGGGTGACAGGACGAGGGGTAATGGGTATAAGTTGAAATATAGGAAGTTTGATCTATATGAAGAAGAACTTCTTTGCTGTGAGGGTGCCAGAGCCCTGGCACAGGCTGCCCAGAGAGGCTGTGGAGGCTCCTTCTCTGGAGATCTTCAAACCTGCCTGGCTGCCACCCTGTGCCCCTGCTCTGGGTGTCGCTGCTGGAGTAGGGACTGGACTAGATGGTCTCTAGAGCCCCCTTCCGACCCCAACCATTCTGTGATTCTGTGTGATTCTGTGATTCTGGGATCTAGTGTAAAATAAAAAAAAAAAAAATAAAAAGGGGGCAAAAGGCTGTGATAAGTTGTAATTTTACCTATTTAGTTTAATTGGATGAACTTTTCATTTATTGGTATTATGTTGTATGCGACCAAATCAGGTGCAAATAATTGACCAAATAACCGCTTTTATTATATGCTACATACAGACGTCTGGCGTCTGGACGCGTTTTCTCCCACCTCGGCGGGCGTTTCCTTTAGGGACGGGTCTCGGTGGCGGGGACATAGATTCCGGTCCTGGTTCTTACCCTCCCCTCACCCGGGCGGCTTGGTGTGTGCCTAGTGCCCAGCCTGAGTAAAAGCTGGAGGGTAAGTTACTTAAGACTAAGATCTTAAGATCTAAGTCTGTTGCTACTTTAAAACAAGTCGGGCAAGGTTTGTGTCTTTTCATAAAACTTTAGATCTTGATGTTGTGTGAAAGCTTACCTCAACTTTTCTCACAAAACAAGCATTTCTTACCAAAAAAAAAAAAAAAAAAGGAATAAAACATAGCATTTGGATTCTGGAGAAAGGAATAAGTCGATGCTGCTTATTTAAAAGCTTAGCTTGCAAAATTTGAATTGGCAGAGCAAAAAAAAAAAAAAAAAAAAAGTGTTTTGGTTTTTAAAAAAAAAAAAAAGTGTTTTGGTTTCATTATGAAGTGGTAGTTTTTTTTCTTTTTTTTTTTTTTTTCCTCTCAAGTGTAAAATGGGATTGCTTAAGGGAATGGACAAGGTAAATATCTATGATCCTTTCAGTCTTCATTTTTATTAGTGATGTACTTAACCAATCTCTGCGATAATGTGATTTTGAAAATCTTGGGGAACAAACCATTAACCTGTTTGGGCTTCTTGAACGAAAGTTCCATTTTAGGTAGGAGCAGACATCTTGAAGGCTGAAGCCATTCTCCATTCCAGGTAACAAGGCCAGGTAATAAGGCCTGATGGGCCTTATTGGGTTTGTTGAAGGGTTACAGCTTAAAAAAGTGTGAGCAAAGCCGTGTTTTATTATCTAGGCATTTCTCTTGAAAAGATACAGGTTCATTTTGATGATGAATGAGCAAGCAACTGCTGAAGTGTCTGCTATTTTAACTATGGATGATGCTAAAGGACATATGAAGAAGAGGGATAGAACGTTGCAAGCTGCAAGACTGAACACTTCTCTAGCATCTAAAATAAAAGCTAAATTAATAAGTAAGTCCTGTTAAAGTAAAAGAGAAGCTATTTACTTTCTTATGGGGTAATGAATTCAAAAGGAATAGTAGATAGTTAACATGATTTGCTGAATTGCTGCCTAGTTTAAGAGTATTAATATAGTATGTTTAGAATTTTAGGATAGTCTGAAGATTAAAACACATGACCTTAAATTATCTCATTCTTCAAATATTTTCAGCGCTTGGTCTTTGGCATGGCCGGTGTTTAAAGAAAGTAGACTCTGGTGCGTTTCTAACCTCCATGAGTTATTTATCTTAGGCGTCTAAAAACTGTGTAACCAAAATTAGTAAGTTTAGAAGACATTTGAAAGACCTTAAAGAGCTTAACACCTTTTAAAATATATTTGCTCTGTAATATGTAGTATTCTCATTTTCAAAATGAGATTTAGATATGGGACTTGAATAGAATTTTTGATTGAGTCATATTAATTAATAAAAAAAGACAAATATTTATTTGCAGATTCATTCATTTTCCAGAATGTACCTTGTTTTACCAGTATGTCAAGTTTAAATTCAAGTGTAAATTTTTCATGATAGCCATTTTGGTTTTGTTTTTAATGCTGATGAAAGCAGTACTATGAAACTTCTTAGAACCTCTTCTGAAAAATGCAGGAAACTATAGATGTAGTGGTGCATTGCTACTTCAAAACTCCCTAATTCGAGCAACGTGGTTAAGAGCATTGACTTCTTGCGAGGGCAGCTGTTAGTATCTGTGTTTGAACTTACTGTGTTTTTATGCCAAAATTATTAATTTTTGGTGGAAAAACAGTATTTAACCATAGCTATGTGTCTAGCGTGCACATGAAGCCAAGTAATTCAGCAGCATATTGTTAATATGTAGTATCACTGGGAAATTAAGAAAAAGTCCTAAAAGGTTTTATGAAAGATACAAGTAGATAATTTTATTTATTTATTTTTTAGAGCTGTGAAAGGTGTATTTCTGATTAAACTTTTTTTCTTTCTGTGGTGAATCTTATATTCCTACCCAAACTATTTGTACTTTTTCATTGTAAGAAAACCTTTTTTTGTTTGTTTGTTTTTCCGTTTTCTTTTTATAAAGCTAGAAATGTTTTTATACCTGTAAAACTATTCACTTTTAAATGCTTTCTTCTTAAAACACAATTACTTAAAAAAAAATCCAAACTAGAGCAGAATCTGTGATCTTATCCTGACAGCGTAGTCTTCAGAATGATATGCAGCTAAAAGCAATTTTATATTAAAAATGTTGGACTTCGCTGCTGTTCACCAGAATACATTGATAGAAAAGTTACTAGACAGTGATAGTTCATACAGAAAGAGTCTGGAACTTAAGCTGTTGGAAATAAAATGGTATGATTTTTGTCTCCTTTAGATAACTCATCTATTTCTAAAGTGTCTTTAAAACAAAATAATAAAGCATTAGCTCTGGCTTTGAGTGTAGAAAAAGAAAAGTCTCGGAAGCTAAAGAATGAGAAGATTTTTCTTCAGAAAGAAGCAGAAGAGCTGCAGTTTCATAATATCTTGCTTCGTCGAAAACTAAACTGTTTGGTATGGTGTAAATAATATCAATTAAGGTTACAGGAGCTAAACCACACTTCAGTTTGTCTTTAAAGCATAATATTGTTTCTTAAAATGGTGGTCTAAAGCAGGCAAGTCTCAGAGGATCATTTGTGCAGTTAAAGCACATCATAGCAAACCATTGTTCACATCTGATTTTTCTTTTTTTTTTTTCCAATTTGATTTTGTGGTCACTATTTTGTCCATTGATGCATCTATCCATCTGTGGCCATTTTAGTGTCACTTTCGACTTTATCAGTACTGCAGTGGTATAAAAAGCTAATTTGTCTTTCATTTGAATGTAAAAAAATACAACATAGTCACTTGTATATCATCTCTTTTAAAATAATCTGGTAGCCATTTAAAGGTAATTTTGTTTAATTATTTTTTTTCTTGTATATACAGAATAAAACTCTTACAGAAATAGAAGCTTTTTTGAATAATAATCTTTTAACTGCGATAAAAATAAGTAGTCTTTCTGAGGTAAGATGATTTTTTGCACTATTAACGGTATCTAACTCTTTTCCTGGACTAATATTTTCAAAGTAACTGAATGACTGGAATGTGGAAATCAGTTATGAGTTTTAAAATGTTTATCTCAATTGTTTAAAAATCAGGGTGAAATCTAGTTACAAAGAAGTCACTGAAAAATTTGCTGTTGCATGCAAAACAAACGGCCAAACAAAAAACCCTACGGTTTGATCTTGTTTACAAAGAATTTATAAGTTGTGTATCGGACCTGATGACTTCTTGTTAAAAGCAAGGTGCAGCGCTGCAGTAGGTGGCATTCTTCACTAACGAGCTGCTTTGCTCTGCTAGTTTAGTGCTGGAGGGTGGGGCAGGAATAAATATTTCCCATGTAATAACTCTGCCAGAAAATGTAGCCCATGTTAGTGCTTCTGTCATGGCAAAATTACAGTTAAGTGATTATCTTCTGCTTCACTCTATGCCTGTGTTGTATTAACAAAATATTAGTTTTACTGTCTGTTCTAAATAGTTGTTTTATGTTTATGCTTCTGTGAGCATAATACACTTGGAAATGGAAAAAATCTACAGTCTGTTGGGTTGCAAGTAACTAGATTTTGCTACAAGATATTTTTCAAGATCCATTTCAAGCATACCCAATAATTTGTGTATGCTTGAAGGAATATATTTTCAGATGTACACTTTTTTTAATATGTATCTTATATCCTAAAGTTAGAATTATTCAGTGAACCACTAATTTGATCAGTATTTCTATTTTCGTCCATTAATGGTATTTTTAGGGGATATTTTTAATGCTTTAAAATTAGGAGAATTTTTTTTTTTTTACTTCCCCACTCTTCTTTTCTGAAAGAATCTTCACAGCTCTCTTCTGTCAGATGGTCCAAGCAGCTGTACTCATGACCAACTTGGTGTCATTCAGTCAGCTAGGTAAGTGATTATATTAAACGTGGAACTTACTAAGCATCCACAGGTTTTATTATTATTATTTTACAATTAAAGCTGTATGTTTTGTTTTAATATTTTTGAAGTAATGAGAAAAATATCTGTCCAATTTGGAAATTACCTATTTGTGACTTGGAACTATGAGCAGTACTGGTAGATGAAGACTGGTGAATTCTCACAAAGAAACAATTTATTCAATGCAAAGCAGTTTCTTTATCAGAAAAAAAATATTTTTTACCTAAGATAGAGCCAAAAGTAAAGCACATTTTGTGCTCGAGTTCTTCATTTCTGTTTTTTATATTACTAAGGGAATGTATTAAGTGCATGTTGTGATGTAGAATGTAATACTCTTCACAGTAAAATTTTCTCTTTTCAGATCTCTGGAACCGCCAATGAACCTTCCCTTAATTGCAACACCTAGTGCAAAAGAGCAGGACAGTCCTCCTGAAGTACTAAATTCTTGTAAAAGTCCCACTGTTTTGTCAAAGGAAGTAGACTCAGCTCAGCTCGGGTCTGCGCCATCATTGCAATCTGATAAAAACAACCCAAAGTCAGATGAAATAGACCAGGCGGAAGCAGCTGTTGACACAAATGCATTTTTAAAAGGTAGGATGAATTTCTCTACAGGTGATTAATTTTTCAGCAGTTGATGACTCTTAGCATAGAATCTATATTGCACAAGGAATGAATCACTAAGCACAGTCCTTGATCTCTGAAAAACTTATCAGGAATAGAATGCTTACCTGTAAGTATAGGTGTCCTGACAATCATTTGTAGAATAATGTTCACTGGGGGAAAGAGAAAAAGATGAAACCATTTAAAACAAACAAACAAACAAAAACTAACATGAGTGGAATAATGCTAACATAACAAATAAGTAATATGTAGTCAAAGAAATAATATTTTTTACCTATAACGAATTGCAAAAATCTCACTTTGTTATTAGGCAAAATGAGTTCTTATCAACTCTTTCATATTGCCAAATATTGAGAAGGTGTATTCATCAGAAAAAAAATGCATCTTGACATTTTCTATGCTTCTGGCCCAACTTTCAGTAATCTGTCTGATTCTGAAAGTTCTGCTCTATTCTCTCTCTTTGTTTGTTTTGTTTTGTTTTTTCCTTTTCACCAAGCTGCTGAAATTTCTCTCTCTGCTTGCAGAAGATCAGTTAGGTACAGAGCTGAATTACAACAATGACTTCCTGACTCGCACCAAAAATACACAATATCTGAGACAGACTGAGGAGCTACCAAAACAATGTACTGATAGTTCATTGCCATTCTGTGAAAATGTGACTGAAAGAAAGAAGCATGAAGTACATTATAGGTCAAAAACTCAACATAATGTAAAGAATTTTGATAAAATATGCAGTTCCAATCCACTTCACTGTGGTGTTAGTGGCAGCAACACCAGTGATGTGAACTTGCAGGCAAGACCCAGTGACTTGTCTCACAGTATTCCTTCACCTCTTCCACTTGGCATTGACTGTAACACTGATTTTAAGATTACTGCAGACAAGATCAAGCCTGAAGAAACTGTTTATGATGCTGATATGGAGTTGACTGCCAGTGATGTAGGTGAGCTACTTTCAGTTACATCAAAAGATAAATTGCACCAAAATAAAAACAGTAGTGCCAATTCTGATAAGGTATCAGCAAATTTCAGAAGAGTAAAATATCCTAAAGAGAAAACTAAAAGCAAGCCTAAAACAAGTTCAAATTCATATGCAGAAGGAAGACACCCTAAGACTGAGAGTAGTACAGCTTCAAAAACTAATCTCTCAGGAATTCAAATATCCAAAAATCAGAGAGAATCAGAACAGCTACCCACAGGGCGTTCCTTAGTGCAACAGAATTTTAAGAATACCAGCAAATGCTATCGAGTGCAGGACTGCACAAATAAAGCTAAGGATACTAGGAGGGAATGTTTGGTTAACCTCATGAGTCCAAGGAAACAAAAGCAGGAAATAAAGGGAGAAATCTGCCCAGGATGGTTTGAAGATACGGAAAACAAAATAGAAAAAGCAAACTGTAACACATCTGTTAATAAATTATCACCTGAAGTTTATTGTGCTGAAAGTTGTCCATTGCAGGATAACATTTCTAATACATTGTCTTTGCAACAGGAGTCTCTGCATACAAATGAGAAACGTATCAGCGCAGAAATAAATAGGAAAGCCTTTCAGAATCCTTCTAACAGGAACTCTACACGATACTGTAGAGAGGAAAATAGGCAGTATAGAGAATATGGTTCAGAAAGGTCTCCAACAAAAATATGCCAACATGACAGCGCAAAAGAAGAGCAGAAGAACATTGTAAAGAATGAATGCAACCAAAAAGTTAGTTACAGACCAAGTGGAGAAACTCAAAGTGGTAGCATTCATGAAGTTATTCAGAAAATGGACCAAAGGAATAACGTTTCGCCAGGCAGATTAAAACGTACATTAGCAAAAGCTAGGTGGAAAGTATGTATGGTACCAACAGAAAACCTTAAGCAATTCACGTTTTGTAGATCTGAAGGGTTAAAAAATAAAAACTCACTGCATACAGATGTTGCCCATGGAAATAAAACAGCTAAAACAAAGCTACTACGAGGAGCTTTAGGTTCTCAGGCTGGTGTAGCTATGACTGCACTGCAAGATATTTCCTCCACAAAACAAGTGGCTGATCAGGGAACTGACATTTTAAAGAAAGAGGTAGATTCCTCATCAATGGCACACAGGAAATCTTACTTTATTAATTCTACTGATGATCAAAAAAAGAATAAACAGAGCTTTATTTCTAATTTTACTGAGATCAGACCAGAAGAAAGGGATATTAGGAATGTTGACCAAGGTGAGGAGAAAATTTTGGACAAGAAAGTCCTGCCTGAGGTAAGTCCCTTTATGAGTAAGTTAAAGCCTACAGTACAAAAATCAGAGTTTTTAAGTCTTAGATGTAGACTGCTCTGAGAATATGCCATTAAATTCAGGTAGCTTTTTCCAGGAATGC